TTACACTCAGTAAGAAAACAAACAAATGGATCATCAAACAAATCAACCCAGATTTTTCACCTGAGGCACAAATGGTGAGACTCAAATTATCAAACTTCAGACACATTATACTGTATCATACTTTGGGCCTAGCTCTCTGGAGAAGTCTCTAATGCTGGGAAAGGTGGAAGGAAAGAGAAGATGACCAGCAGCAAGGTGGATGGACTCAGTTACAGTGGTGATGAGTGCACCCTTGGAAGAACTGAAATACTAGGTTAGGGACAGATTGTCATGGAGAAAATCTATCTATGTACTAAGAGCTGACAATGACTAGGTGGTACATAATCAAAACAACATTAAGTTTAAATTAGGGCGTCTATAGAGTGTTGAGTGATTCTTAGTTTGAATATTTGTATTGGCTTTTGGGGGCGGAGGTTTAGAGGTAGAGTTAGGCTTCCTTGAACTTGGTAGTAAAACTGGGATTTGCATCTGATTCAGGATTAACTTTTATAATTAGTGACAACCTTATGTTTAAAGTAAGGTTTAGTTTGAGGGTGGGATTCAATGTTTGCACTGACATGTAGGGCAGTTAGGGTTAGGCTTCCTTGAGACTGATTTACTAATTAGACTTGGTCGTTTTTTATGTTTTGTTGTAGACAAATTTATATTGAATATAGTGTGACTATATGACCAAATATTTGGATTGTCATTCTGGGGCACTTAGTGTTACTGTTAGGCTGCCTTCGTCTTAGAAAAATTGCATGGGTATCTTAGAATCAGACAGTATTTCCATGCTTTCTGTGAATCTTATATTTTTATTAGTATTGGGCTGAACTATAGGGTGACTGTGAGGGTAACCCTTTATACTGGAAGTATGGTAGGTTGGGGTTCTGTTAGGCTTATTTGAGATTGATAATAACATTTAGCTGCTCGTTTTGCTTCTATAATTGTGAATAAATCAAGCGTGACAGAATATTGTGTCTCCAGTGACCTCTCCTTCTGAAAGAGTGGGGTCATATCAACTAAATTATATTGCTTATTAAATATTAAAACATTATTAAAACATTAAAATAACTACTGTATGTGATAATTATCTGACAACAGCTGACTTAGCTATTAAAGATAAGCCATCAGCATGACATATCAGAGAACGTGATTGCATATCCTGTTTTACAGAGGACAATTCTCTATTAAAATGCTCTCAGGAGCCAGTCCTCTATCTTAGGAGTAGGCAAACCATGGCTTGCTATTCCCATTCCAACTTTTGAAATCCAGCTCTCCGCCCAATTAGTTTTGCCCCTTTCTGTGACAATTCCACTCTTCCAATGACATCATCTGTGGCCCTTCCAGGTGGCTGTAGTCTCTGACCCTGGGAAAGAAGCCTGTTCCTGCTGTATCTGAATTGTTGCCTACTCTAGAATTAAAGTAGAATTCTATTCTAAAGATAAAGAACTCTAAGAAAAAAGACTAGCAAACGTCTAATTCACTTGATCAGTCTTCCCTACTCAGTTGAGGTGAACTGCATTTCTCTTTAAATTACAGAATCATTTTCTATTTGCCCTAGCTAAGAATTAGCATATTCTTATGCAAACATATCTCTTCTTTCATCCTCTTATTTTGATGATTCTATATTCGAGGCTCACTGGACCACATCCTGTTGTTCTCAGGACGATGGTCAAGCATGTTGAAAGCTGTTGCAGCCACTTTGGCTTGGTGGGCCATAGATTGTGCAGACTGATGCTAGGTTAATATCTTTTAAAGAATTATTTTCAGATCAGGAATAAAAGCAAAAGCTTTTTGTTTTTGTTCAGATCTACTGGCCAGCAAGCTCAAGTCAAATAGGCCTATGCAGAGGATCAGACGAAATAAACCACAGAGACATAAACAGCACTGGAATGTCATCCCCAGTTCGGCCTGTTATCGGATGAAGATGGAGAAGACTTACCACATTGTAGAGTCCAATGCACCACCGCTCAAATAAAATCTGTCCGGAGAATCCATTAACGAATGCAAACCAAAGCTGAAATAGAGAAAAGTTGCACAAAGCTTTAGATCAATGCGATACAACATATTTCTATGCACTGGAGAAGCACATGGAATGTGGACATCATTTGGAAGCAGCTGCTGAGTAAATTCTAAAAATAAGTACTCACAGTTGTTCTCTCTTAAATAGAGAATACTACTGGAGTGATGGAACAATCTGCAGAATCTGCATCATTACACTAAAATAACAAACTTCTTGTAAGTATATATGATGATTCAAATTCTTAGTGAGTAATCTTTAACGCTAGAAGCTAATCTGGTTTCAGCCACATAGCAAGTAAAGCATATACCCCATGTCAAGAAAAATAATCCTATAAATACATGATACTGTTCCAGTGGCCTTTGTTTTATTCAAGTTCTCTCCTACCCTTAGGAATTGAAATGGACGAAGAAGTTGAAAAGAATATTTTTTAAACAAGTACTGAAAGCAGAAAAATATTCTGGTACCAAACAGTTGTCTGGGTGGCAAAGGACGATGCTTCAGAAACTCCTCACATTTTCAGTGTTGCTATGCAATATGATGAATTAGAATTCAGAACAAATTTTGGTCTAAAGCTAGGCACTTTACATACACTTGCCATATGTAAGCGGTATAAAATGCAGTAGCATTGAATTCTGAGATACTATACTCAGTATTATGAAACTCCCTTGGGTTTGGAGAATTAGTTTTACAGTTCTGTAGATCTGACTACAGTATTATTTAAAAACATAAAATGAACACAGTCCAATGTTGCACAAGTGGAGATAAGTTTCCAGCCCCAGTTCTGGAGAGAGTTATAAACTTCTGGAACAGAACTAGGGGGATACAGTTGTGGTGTAGAAGTACGAAGAATCTCATCCAGAGATATCTGATCTGCTGACAAATAGGCTTAGTTAAACAAAGCCTTATGCCTACTTAATACCTGCAATCAAAATCAAGCCTATCCTTAAACATGTTTCTGGGAAATATTTTAGGGAATAGGAAATTCCACAACTGTAGAACAGGCACTGAGAATTTACAGTATTTACGTTCCCTTGAAATTTAGACTCAGTGAATGGCTATTTCATTGAAAAAAAAGGATTACTTTCTCAATTAAACATTGCTAGACATTATGTCACAAGTTACATTGCTGTATGTCAGGTATTATGAGCCAAAAGTAGAAGACTTAGTTTTGCCAAGTAATCAATGGATCTTTCCTTTCTGTCCCACTCTTTTGGAGCCTTTTTAGATATACCAAAAAAAAACCCCGAAGTGTTCCTGCTTCCATTCTTGGTTGATAGACTAGAGTGCCAAATTTTAAGTAGAATTCGTTAGTCTTGATTGCCAAAAGCTTGACTTTGGCCCCAAATATCATATCTGCAAATACAATGTAATAATAAAGAAATGGCAGATCAACTAATAGTAAATTTAATACTTTAACTAGTGGATTTCCTGTTGCAGATATACAGTAGAATTCAGATGAATTCTAAGATCTCTCTGCTGGAATGAAATTGTGCAGATATTGCAAATTTGGGGGAAATTCAGACTTTTTGAATTTTTGGATTTAAAATGTCTCAGGGGTTTTTAAAGTCAACTGGTAGGAATACTTGCTTTTCTATGCTAAATCTTAAGTTTTGTTGATGAATTTTAGGACAAATAATATGTTTTAACTCACTACATTCAATATTGCTACAGTTTATTTTCCCCCTTAAAATTCCTAATCCATAATGCAGAATGTTGAAATCAAAATAAATGGATTTGCATTATTATATTTAAAAAAACCCAAACAGAGTTACACAGATATATAGCAAATATAATCTCCTTCCCAACCTTCATGGACACCATGAATCTGTTCCCGACCATAATTCAGTTTTCTTTAACAGATTTGGGGTGTGTTAAGGTATGTGACTTTGGGATTAGGATCTGTTCTGTTAATAGAATAGTATTTATCAATGTAATGATACTGATAGGCAATCCAATCTTTTTACTGGAAGAATGTATTATTTGCTAACATACACTAGGATCGAGACATAACCATACTTAGAATACAGCTGTTGAAATTAGCAACTATTTTAAGTTCTGCTGACTTCAAGAGATCTAATACGAATATGCATATTTTATCCAACATTCTGCTGCTCTTCATGCCAATTGTAATTCATTTATTTTAAATAAAATTATTAAATGGTTTCTGTGGTATCATACCAGTCTCAATTTTACATGACATTGCTAAGCAAAGTTTCTAACCCTTAGATCATTCTCTCCAGAGGAACAAATATGCTTCTGCCAACATAAATTTAATATATATACTGTATATATGAAATTTTTAAATACAATAATGAGATTAATACAAATTAAAATAGAACAAAAATGAAAAAATGAAAGAAAAAAACTAAAGATGCAAAAAGAAAAAGAGTAGCAGAAAAATACTGTAGAAAAGAAAGAGAAAAGATATGAAGACATGGCTTCCAATCTTCTTCACAGCAGTTATAAGTACAATTATATTTTAACCTCTCTCTCTAAAGTTACCGCACGACTCTCTTCTCTCTATAATTTATCTTGTCTAATCATCAAAACCATAAAACATAAGTTCATTTTTTTCTTTTTTATGCAAAAAGTCCATAAGGGGTTTCCAGTCACCAATAAACATAGATATTGTCTTTTCTCTAATCAAACAAGTCAGTTTGGCCTTTGTCATCTTTACCAACCATTCCTCTGTTGCCAAATCTTTCTATCTTCTGCCACACTTCACTGAAAATCTTGAACTAATTTTTATAATTTGTAAGTGGTTCTGGGGATTTCATCCAAAGTCACAATCTTTTAAATTGAATCCAACCTAGAGAAAAGA